TCTTCAATTGATGTATAAACATGTCTTAATGACCATTAGGACTAGATGATAATGATTAAAACCTTGTAATTACTTAGAATCCATTGCACAAACCACCCAAATATATATACTAATTTATGATTCAATCCTTAAAACTAGTCCTAGCTCTTTCCTTGACCTTGTTTAATACTTTAAACCAATCGAGATTATGATATTAACTAGAGTTTAAAACCTAAACAATAGCTAATGCATGTCCAAACAGCAAAAGATTGAAATGAAAATATGTTTTAATTCATCAAAACCTTGAGGCATAAATACAAACTATTAGAATGCACAACTAGTTTAAGAATCAAATATACATCATCTCCTCTTTAAAACATGAATTTCAGTTATAATGATTAATCTCAGAGTTAGAATCATTCATTAAAAGCATGAATTACAAAATTAAAGAAGGAGAAGAGAAGAATTTAAAGCAATTGAAAGCAAGAAAAAAGGTTTAGAAGAACTCAAGATGTGGGTTCATCTTTCCTAAAAAGCTTTAAGAGTCTAGCCTTTCATGGTGAATTCTTCTAGATTCCTCCTTGAGATGACTTCTATGGCTTCAATACCTGCTTAAGATGAAGGATTTGGCTAAGAAAGTGTGGGAAAATGGAGAAAAATGAGAGAAAATTTGGATGAAGTAGTGCCGAAAATTTTAGAACAGTGAGAGAGAATATGTGTGAAATGTAATGTGTAAAATGAGGTCAATGAAGTATTGCATGACCCCAAACCCCTATATTTAGCTTGTAATGGTGTAAAATGAGTAAAATAGAATGAATTTTAGATGATTAAAGCTATAAAATATCTAAAACTACTTAACAAACCTGGTTAGGATGTTCAAGTATGAATGTGGCCACCATTCAAGCTAGGTTAACTCAGATGCACATGTAGCTCTTATAGGATGCTCCACACTTAATTAGAACTCACTAAACCCTTTTAAAAATATTATCAAATGGTGATTAAGGGCTGCTTGGTTGAAATCCTCAACGCTTAAAGTCATTAGAAGCTCTTTGAATCAACTCTTGCACATATGTCACTCTAGGGTCTTCTTACTTTGTGATTTGTCTTGTAATCCAATATTTTGGTATTTAATTTTCATCCAAATCCTTATTTGTATGTGCAATTATACACACAAGAATAATTAAAGCACGTGTGCAAAATTTTAAATAAAAACTCAAAGTCAATTACAAGATACAATACCATTTCTAAACTCTTAAGTTATAAAACATGACAACATAGTATTAATGTTTTTATCTTAGAACATTCTATAAATTATGTCTTTTGATATCTCTTTGTAATTTAAAATGAATTTGAATCTTAAATTTGTTTCATTAATCTTAGGAAGACAAAAGACATAGACTAAGTTAATATCTCAAAATTATTCAAAATTGTTAAAATAACTAAAATACTCTTAAACTATGAATGAATAAGACCTAAAAATACCTAATTATATAAAAATTAATTCTCTAATAATTTAATAATGTAAGAATATCATCATAAATTGTCAGAGCGTATCGTCACTCCTTCTCACTAGACACCCAATCTTGGTAATCGTGGACGCCAATTTGCTCTTTCCTAGATGCTCACACGCACCACGAATCCTTGCTAGAATATTCCTTTGTTTCTATCCTTTCAAAGAAATAGAGGCCATCAAAGGAGACGACAAAGTTGAAGCAAAGGATAAATCCCCTGAAGGCTTCACTTTCTTGCCGTTTCTTCCCGAAATCTTGACATATAGAGGCTTTTCTAATCGCTATGATGGTAAGGGCCTTGAAACTTCGCCACACACTATCTTGAAACTCATTCATGGAAGTGCTCAAATTATGATCAAATTTTCCACATATCAACTTGGGACAATGATGATCTTAGACTTTGCAACTCAAATTCCTCCCCTGACTCCACCATGTCCTCAATCTTTACCTCCAATGGCGAGTCATTAATCATCTTTCCTTGTTCCTTTTCTCTCAAATATTTAATTGGAGAAGTCATGGCACAAAACACAACACGGAGGGGGGAAAAGAACACAAGATGATAGAGAGAGGGAGAGAGAAGAGTACAGGAAGAGGGGAAACTTGATAAATGTCAAGTTATTAGTCAAAACAACAAACTTAACAGTCAATATTAGTCTAGATTAACGGTGGTTAAATTACACAAATTTAAAATTTTTAAAATAACATTACTCTTTTTAAAAGATAAAGATATCCATAACTCATTTGAGAAATCTGTTAAGTCATTTTTGCCCCTGAAACCTTTTTTGTTATTTAGGGTAAGAAAGTAAACATGTTATGTTGTTATTGTTGATTACATTTACATTTATATGTCTCAGGTCCCACTTTGTTTTTCATTTAGTATACTTATTTCACAAAAATAAAACTAATGAACCAACTTTATAAAATTTATAAGCATATTATAAACTTTGATATTGCTATATAAGATCCTAACCACGTTAATTTCTTTTTCTTTTTCTTTTTTTGAGTGGATGAAACATTTTTGAGATATAAAGATTTAGAACTTAATTGTATAGTAATAAAATTTTCTTTGATTATGAATTTTTTTGGTAAATTTTTTATGTTGCAATATTTTTTTTAAAAAAAGAAAATGTGTTGCTGATTTTTCACACCACAATGATCTATAAAATATTTTAGTTTAAAATTGCATATAGATGATCATTTTAAAGAAGCTTGTGTTGTAGTTTTCGTTTGGAAACAAAATTATATAAAATGAGAAAATTATAAAAATTTATTGTTAAGTTATAAATGACTATTGTTCAATTGCCAATACTTTTAATTAAGTTATAAATATAAAATATTTAAAATTTAAAAATATTTTATAAATTTTATGAGATCTCTTAATAATAAATTTTTTTATAATGAAATTTAAATATAATTTTTTTTTTAATAAATGAGTTTCTCATTTACATGTCAATCTCTAGCATTCATATATGTCGATTTCTTGGCCCACTTGGCACGGATAATCCTCACCAACTCTGACAAGTGACAAGCGAGCTTTCAAGCGTATGAATGCCTTCGGAATGTGAATTAGATGCTCGACAACTTGAATTGGCCATTATATTTTGCAACCAGGCCCTCCACTTGCTGGATGTGCTTGTTGAGAATATGAAAGAGGCTCTGGCAAATATATATATAAAAGAGGTGAATAAACATTAAGCCCCAGTTCAAATTCCTGTGGGAAGGGGTGCTTTTATTTAATTATTGATTGTGTTTCGAATCGATACATGTAGGCAATATAAAAAACATGGAAAACCAATTTGTTTCAGATTTTTTTAATTACATAATTACATTTTTTTAAAAAAATATTTTGTGAGATTTAATTATGTTTGTTTAATTTTTAAAAATAACCATAATCTGGAGAAAAGCATAATTTTATTATTTTGAGAATACTTTCAGTTTTTTTTAAACAATAATTTAATACAGTATATGAAAGAGAATATCATGAAAATAAGAAGATGCATGAGGATATTATAAAATTTTAAAATAATTAAATAATAAATTATTTTTACAAAATAGAAATACATGAAGATATCATAAAATCTAAAAATAACTAATTAATAATCACTTTTTATTATTGTAACCAAGCATAAAATAATATTCACTTTTTATAAAATCCCTGTAAATTAAATTTTTTTAATAAAATTTATAAATTATCTAAAAATAACTTATTTTTTTAATCTTAAATAAAAAGCCCAAAATAGCTAATTGTATCCGATTCCAAAACTCCACTGACTATAGATATATTACAACGAATCCATTCTTTCAGCCCACAAATATCCTTCAACCTCACCACATGTTCTACTGCATCCAATTCCAATGGAACACTTGAGAATATATATATATATATATATAGATGTGTTGTAAAAAGAAAATAGTTGTTTCCTATTCTGTTTTAGCCAATAATTCAATTAAAATAGTAATTTCTTATGATAGTCTCTGAAAATAAATACAATGTGATTTCATCAAAAATTAATATGTCAGACAAGCTCCTATGAACTAAATAATAATTATTACATTTTACATTACTTAATTGTCATTTAGATATTTCAGAATTTTTTTTTGTCATTTTCTCTTTTTTAAATAAAGATATAAAATGTTTGAGCCTTTGAGATAAGAATGCGCAAGACCTATTCAAGTTTATGGAATTATATGACTTCTTCAGTTTTGGTTTAATAGTCCGGCCCAAATTTCCAGTGTACAGCCCATCAGCTTAATATTGCTTTTCTTATTCTTAATGGATAGCACATGACTCTCTTTCTCTCTCAACCCGTAAAAGTTTTAGTGAGTTTGAATTTTGAAAATTTACAAGCTGATGGGCTGTACACTGGAATATTTAAGCACATGACTCTCTTAGTGAGTTTGAAAATTTAAGCTCAAAAAATATTTATAAATATAGTTTTTAAATTGTCTGTCAATAAGATCCTGTAAATTATGAGTCAAATCATAATTAAATGAAATAATATTTGTTGGAGGTGACCCTCTTTCTTCCTGTCACTTTATTTTATCAAACTCAACAATGTGCCAAGTTTGGTATGAGAAAAAGAGAGCTAGAAAAATGAATTAAGTGATGAGAAAAAAGAAACTCAATTTCATAATATTTAGAGGGTGGCAACTAAGCTTTCCTCCAAAAAAGAGTGGGATTGAGAAATTATTACACGAGCTTGATGTACCATGTCGTTCATGCTAAAGCATGCCATGTTATATGAGCTTAATCAAATATAAAATCTTATATATTATTATTTTTAACTACTTTATTTTTGAAATAGAGTGCTTTTTAATTATTATCTTTGCCCTCAATATTATCACCATAATCAATTTATATTTACAACCATCAAACATAGAATACATTTATCAGAAAAAGCATGCACGGGATGATGTAACGTATTGGGTTGAATCGTTCCATCATGGAGAACATAAATATAGACTAAATTTGCTGTCCTCTACCTCCTTATAATTTAATTAGCAGAAATCTTTCGATTGAAAGTAAACTTGAATATTGTGAAATTTTGTAATATAATTTTTTTACATCCCATATTAAAATGGCAGAGTGAAGATTAACTATCAAATGCTCAGAGGAAGTTTAAGAAAATTAAAAAAATTATGAAGAATAGTAGTGTTCTGGTAAATTAAATGATAATAGCACAGCTCCAACAGATTGATCATGCCCTCTCATATAATGTTGAGCCAATTCAATCATCTGAAGTGGGCTTATCCTCCTCCTTCTTGTCTTCCCAAGCAATTAATCGATTCTTTGACTTTTCAACCTGTACAGTCACCCTCACTCTTCAATTTTACATCTCCACGTTCGTTCGTTCATTTATGCATTTACTTATGACAGTTAGACCCCAAGAAATTTTTCTAAAAAATGAGTTGTATATACTATATAGTTATTGAGTCAAATAATTATAAGTTCAGGAATCTCAATTATAAAAAACGAATATCAGTTTCAAATGCAAAACAAATTGAAATTAAGATTACTGTCTGTAACTATTTGAATTAATATTTCTAGTGCTTTTTTACAAAAAAAAAAAATTGAGAACCTTACTGCCATTAATTGATTCTTTTAAAATCTGAACTGTCATTTTCCTTTTACTTATTGTAACACTTGAAATCTTTTATATCATTCCTATAAAATTAGATTTTGAGCTGACGAATTCGTGGAGCTCTTTTAAATAGTTTTTTCATGATAATATTTTAATGGAAGAAAAACTTTCGCGTTATGCATTATATAATAAATCTAATTCGTTTTCTTCTTTCATTTGTTTAAAATTAACCATGTTTGTAATTTAATTTATTCAGTAAAATTTGATATGCCAATTAAGTTGTTTCGTCAATTATATTTAAAACTGGGAATTATTTATTATTAATTCACCTCTTTGACCCAGTCAGTTCGGCAAGTGACCCAGATCAGGATCATCGTCTGGATGAAAGTTCCTCCTATCATTCCTGACCATATTCCCTATACATTCCACAAAACATATAATTTTACAATTAAACATGCATTGATACATAAACATACATACATATTAATATTATTAAAAATTACAAGGAGAGAACAACTGGGCGAAGAAGCAAAGAGCACCATGCACATCTAATTAACTCAAAATCTCAAAATTTAAGTCTATGTATCCTAGTTTATTATATATTATTTATTAATTCTAATTTTATTTGATGCATGACTTGTGGTATTAACTGGAATTTAGTGACACTTAGACATCTTAACAATATATATTTGTATATATATAATAATTATAGAGAATTTAAAGAAGGAATTTATGACGTACCTTAGCACCAAGATTAAACTTGAATCCAAGAAGGGCCCCTAAAGGAATTCCAATGATATAATAGCATCCGACATTAACGTAAGCGACAAAAGCTTGCCATCCACATCCGACTGCTACTCCTGTATGATATATATTCACACAAAGCTTCATTCATATCAATTACTACTCATATGCCATCCCTTGACTGTTTAGTTTCTTACAATATGCATCCATGCTCAATCAAACAATCACTCCTTTTTTTCATTTGAAACATTATTGTTACTTTGTTGGGCTCAATCAAACAATCACTCCTTTTTTCACTTGAAACATTATTGTTACTTTGTTGGATCAGAAGATTAATTCTACGAGAGAATTAAACATATCCAAATCAACTATATAAACATGTGGAAACTTTTACCCTTTCATTTGGATGGGGAGAAGGAAAATTAATAGGAAAAACTCCTAAAAATAGTATAAAAAATTATTTTTTTATTTTTCTTCTTAGTTTTCTCCCTTTTCTATTTTCTTCCCATTTTTTCCTCTATCCAAACCAAGAGACTTCTAATAACAAGGGCAAATTAACCCGAAAGTTCTTATAAATTTTTTAATTTTTAAATTAGGTCCATGTAGTTTATTTATTTTAATCACACCCTTCTAGTTTGATTGATTAAATATGTTAATTTCTGAAGGTTAAAATTGTTAATGAATGATTAACTTTTCCAAAACAAAAACACTTCTGAAATGTATAGAAAGCGTAATTTAATACTTTTGGACAAAAAATATTTTGATTAAATTTTTTTAATTTTTTATTAATTTTATTAATGAAAAATGTATATGCATAAAATTTATTTAGAATACATAGCCAAATTATATAAATTTTGATTTATAAAAATGATGTAATTATTTTTAAAGTTATATAATCTTTTAAAATTAAAATATAAAATTTTTTAATTTTATTTTTTAAAAAATAAAAAAATAAAAAAATTTTTAATTTAAATTAGGCCCTGTAGTTTTTTTTATTTTAATTAAGTCCTCATAATTTGATTGATTAAATATATCAATCCTTCACGGTTAAAATTGTGAGAAATTATAATGACTTGCAAATTAGTTTTTCCTAATAAAAACACAATATTAATTACTTTTACACAATTATCATAGGTTCATGAGGTCCTCTTCATAAATTAGGTGACTATGTGTAAACATATTATTTACACCTCAAAACTTAGCCAGTATATGCAGTAAAAATTAAAGTAGTAGAAGATGGGAAGCAAATACATAAAAATATAAAATTACCAGAGAGGACAGGTTGGATGCCATTAAGGATGATAGAGACAGCTAAGAAAGGAGCAAGTTCCGAGACAGCATTAGCAACGGTGGTCCCACTTGTGAAGATGTAGCTTATCACATGACGGAACACAAGCACGAGGATGGCAAACAATACAGCTATGGCCAGAGACACCATTGTCACTATCACTACTGAGAATGCTGCTGCTTTAGGATGTCCTGCTCCAAGCTCGTTCCCCACCCTTACACTATATGTATATATGTAGACGATACACACAAATAAAGAAGGTCATGTGCCATGCATGTTAGAAGATATATTGATGAAGAAGAAGATGATGATGATGATGATGATCTGGTTTACCTGGGAAGCCACATATCGTACAGATCGCTTTTTACGTATATGTATGTGAAAAAAAAGATTTTCATGTTGTATAGTACTATGTATGAAACTCTAAAACAAAGATTGTCCTATGAGATGTACTATTTGTTTATAGTTGATGGAATATATGGAAAAATAAATGTTCTGTTCTTTTTAATGACTGCCCTTTCGGAGCATATGATTTTATCTATAAGGTACCAGCAAATTGTAAGCTAACAAGCAAACTACAAGCTTATAATATCAAGTTAATGCCATTATTTGTCCAAAAAAGGGCTTGGGATGTGGTTAACTTGGAAGTAGTCGGCTCTGTACTTATGGATGGGCGTAGTATGTGTGGTGGTGTTATCAAAGATATCAATAAATCTTGAATATTGGGCTTTAATTAAAGATTTGAGCAGGTTCTTATTACTATTTCTAAAATCTTCAACATTTATAAAGGTTTGGAGCTATGCTAGCTGAAAAGTTTTAAGAATATAGAAATATTTTGTGATTGTGTGAATGCAATATGAATTAGTTACAAGGGACAATCATAATTATTATCTTTTTTAAGATATCATTAGCTCTGTTAAAAGACTTTTATATAAAAATTGGTCTGTAAACTTTAATTTTTTAAATTAGGAGGACAACAAAATGGCCACTGTCTTATTAAATCTGGTCATTACATGCTTAATGCTTTAAATGTTTTCAATTTGCCACCAAATAAATAGTCTATTGGGTGATTTATAAGTCTATTTTGTTGTTTTTTACCTTTTCTTTTTAGGTTGTTTGGTTTTGTATTTCTTTCCTTGTAAATTAGGATTCCTGCACTTATTCCCCAAAAAAAAAAGTCCTATCTATGAATGAAATGAATGAGATTGACAAGTTATGTCATTCATTTCACTGCTGATATTATGAGGATACAACGATAGAGAGATCTGGAATTATTTGAAGAAAATTAATTAATTAAAGATGATACCTTGCAGCTGCATTGAATCCTACTGCAATCATGAACACCCACCCTGATATCGTCGTGCTGCATCACACGGAAATAACAAAAATATTGATTATTAGTCATGTACTATATATACTGTATATAATCTACATTTTTTTAGATAATCTCTATTAGTTACCTCTAAATATGATTATATAATCTTAATTATGTTGATAACACACACGATATAATTGGCTGTGTTGAAATGTTAACTTGTTACTGTGTCATATAGGTTCAACCATGTTAATTGTTAACAGCAATATAGACGTGGTAAAACCAAAGAATAACTTTCAAGCTGATATGCCAACAAAACAAGACAAGTTTCATAAAAGCGATCGTTCTTTTCGTCCTTTATCATTATTATTATTATTTTGTCTGTTGTTTCTCTTTGATGGGAGGTTTCGTGCCTTACAAACATTTCTGGTCGACAGACCTTTGTTGACTGTTTGTTGTGGAATTCTTGTTCATCGCATGCAAATCCTACAGAGGTTTGACTTCAAATCAAATTATTAAAGATTATTTGTTCAATTTTCAGTAAGTGATAAATTCTCTATTCATGCATTGACCGTTGATTTAGATGGGAAGAAAAATAACATGAAAAAATGAAATGAAAGAAATTAGATGATGAGAAAAAATTTGGAGGAGAGAAAAAAAGGAGGTAAAGAAAAGTTGAGGGAAAATATTCTCTATAATTTTGATGGGATAAACAAGGGAAAAAACACTGAGGTGAAAAAAGGTAATCAATTTCACAATGACTATAATATTTATATGAAAACATGTGGGTCATATATATGATTCTTTTCCTCTCGTTTTGCTCACATTTGAAAAGCATGTTTTATTTTCAAAACCTTTCTTAATTGTATAAGAAAACCACATTGGGTATATATATCTTCTGGATTTAAATAGTGTAAAATTAAAATCTGTAAATTTCTGTTAAGATTATCTTAAGAAACAAAAAATATTTTATTTTCATATAAACAATAAAATAAAAAGAAAACTTCAAAAAAAATTCAAAAGAGAATTTAAATCCATACTTTATTTCCTTCTCATTTTTTCTTATTTAAACATATATACAGAAAATATCTCTTTGCTCTCCTTTTTATTGTTCTAGAGTTAGTGATTCGAGTTAAACCTAACAAGGTAGTCTGAACCTACCTAAAAAAGTTAAGGCCAAATTTAAATATATAAGTTTTTTTAAAAAAATGATATAATATTTTAAATCTAATTTGAATAAGTCCGACTGTTAGAATTAATTGCTTTATATGTATGTAGAATTAATAGTTTAGGCCAAGTTCAACTGACTAGCCTAAACCCGTCTAAAAAAAATAAAGATCAGGTTTGACTATATGATTTGTTTTAAAAGGATATAATATTTTAATTTTAAGCTTCATTCAGATAAATCTTGCCCGAACTGACCTCGTACCTCCTAAATTATCAACTTAGATCTTTCCCCATTACTTTTCTGTGCACCCAAACACAGCAACACGTTAATGGCATAATTAAGAACAAAACTAGACAAACCTTTACTGGTAAAGGTATATGTTAGTCGTTGCGTAATTAAGGAAGAAGAAATACGAGGAATTGAGGTTTCTCACCAAACGGAGAGAGAGTCGAGTGTGATCTCAGGATTCTTGAGAAGTCCAGCAATCAAAACAAGGATCTGATAATACCAAGTTTCCAAGCTCAGCATAACAGCAGAAGCCACAGAGAGCTTAAGAAAACCCCAAAGTCCAGTAAATGCCTCCCACTTAAATCCCCTCCATGTCCTCTCACACTTCTTGCTCACCACCACGTACACAAACTGAGCCGCCACCACCACCCACCATGAAAAGCTCAGCACCAGCGACGCCCCCAGCAGCCCGCCGCCCAACTTGAACACCACGATCCACGTCAGAAGCAGGTGAGCCGCGAACGTCGCCGCCGAGATGTAAGCGCTCGGAGCCACTATGCTCTGAGCTTGAAGGAACTTCTGTATGGGGAAGTTGGCGGCGTAGGCGTAGATCTGGGGGATCAGACCGTACACGAACAGTGCGGCTTCGGTGGCTATAACGGTGGACTCACCCAGGAGGAGTAATATTTGTTTGGAGAATACGTAAATGAGTGTGAGTGGAATCCCAGTTGCCATTAGAAGAATTGTGGATCTCTGCATGTATGTGCCCAGCATTTCATACTTGTGAGCCCCGTAAGCTTGACCACATAGTGTCTCCACTGCACTCCCCATCCCAAGCTGAAAATTGTACACAAAGATATAAATCACAACAACTTAATTAAATTAATTTTTTGAATAATTTAATACTTAATTATATCTATATATTTGATTGTTTAAGTGAAGGTAGATTTAAGTTGATGTAAGAAATTTTAGGCTTAAATTTTGACATTTAAAGTTAAGATGCGACGTTTGTCTGCTCGGCTGTTTTCCCATCCACATCAATAATTCAATGCATCTAACTTCAATAGAATAGATCAACCACTCATTCGTACTTTCCGAACATTAATATAATTCTTTAATTATATCAACCACTTATATAAGTCACTTTTAATATATATATATATATATATATTTTATTGAAACAAAAATTTAAAAATTCATTAACACTATTTAAAAATTTAATAAATATTCAACTTATTCTTATTAAATATACATACCTTAATAACATATTTTTTTTATAATATTTAATAAAGGATTAACAAGAAAAACTTTTGATAAAAAAATTATGATGTGACATAAATAAGATCAATAAAATTATTTTCTTTATGTCTTAGCTTATAAATAAAACTAAAGAGAGTATTTTAAATATATTTTTTTATTCAAAATATAAACATTTTTTTCCATGATTGAAAATATAAACAACTTAATATTTGTAAAATAAAAATTCTCTCATTTTATTTTTTGTATTTATTAATCTAGATAAAATTTTTATGTCTGTGAATTATGACTCTTTTCTTGCTCATTATAAATTGAATTTTAGAATAAAAGAAAAAAATAATATATCTATTTTTATAAGAATAAGAATTTTATCTGTGTACTGTACAGGGATTATTGTTAAAAGCAGCATTTTTGCCTGGAGAGAGTATTTATCAACTCGATCAATGTGTCTGTTTCAGGTTGTTGAGACTTAAAACTGGATTAATCTGGTTGTTACTATACTGTAATAAATTCTTTAGAGAGAGAGAGGGATCACCATGACGCCGTAAGCGAAGACTTGAATACCAGAGTTGCCGAGGTTGGCGGCGGCGAGCTCAAGGTTACCAAGATGGCCGCAGAAGATTTGTGTGGACATGGAGGTGACGTTGTTGAGCAAGTAGACAACCACGGCGGGGCCGGCGAGGCGGTACAGTATCTTCAGCTCGATCCAAGTGGCGGATCGGACGCGCCGCCAGTAAGGGAGGTTGGTGTTTGTCAGCATGTCTTCGAGCTCTGAACTCACCGGCGACGGCCCTTCTGCTGCCTCCTTGGGCTCCGTCAGAAGGGGTTCCTCTGCTTCGCTCTTTATTGATGAAGAAGACATGATGCCCTGACTCGATGGATTGATTCTGAAGCTGTGAGTAGAATTTACTCCTCTTTATGATGAGACTGGAATTTATGCCAGCGATTTGTCTTTTTCCAAGGTAAAAATTCTTGGAAAGCTTCTGCACGTAACTAAGGCGATAAGAGTGCAAAGTGATATTGCTGCCTTATTTTTATTATTTATTTGTTTTAAAATATAATAAGTTTTTAATTTTATCTCTATTTAATTCAAAAAAATTTACGTTTGCTTTATATTTAATGAATTTAAACAAAAATAATATTAAAAAATATAATTGATATCCTAACAAATACTTTTATATTAAGGATTAAAGAATTAGTTCTTCTAGATGGCCCCCAAGCACCGTAGGGAGTATTTATAATCATAGTATTCATACTAATTCTGAACGTGAAAGAGAAATTTAGTTTATGGATTTAGATACAATTGATGAATATCTCACGCAACTTGATAACAATAGTTTGATTTAACTAAATGGCTATAAAAAATTTGTCACGTATGATATTTAAAAAGTATCAAATTTTAAATTTTTAAAGGAAATAGTTTATGCGAAGAGTGTTCTGATCATTAAAATTGTTTTTAATTTTTGAAAAGAAATGTGTTTGATAATTTTTAAGTATTAATAAAATTTAATGACTATAATTCAAATACTTATTAAGTAAGTGAATTTAGAATAATCATTCAATCTAATTTCAAAGTGCCAAACCATCTTAGGCAAGTGTTAGAAACGGAGGTTGCTTCTTGTTACTTTCGTGATTAAAAATTGTAAATTTAGACTATCAAATTCAATTGATACTCATCCAATTTTTAATATAAGACAAAATTTAAAAGACTTTTTATTTTAAATATAGAATGAAGTTAGAGTAATTAATACCTTAAAGTTATAATTAACATTTCTTAATAACTGCAAAGTTTGTTAATTTCGTTTTATATTAAGGACTAGAGTAATAATTTTTAAAAATACTCTATTAAAGGTTTTCAGTTAACTTATTAAATATTTTTTGAAATTTAAAAAATGTCAAACTTTAGTTTACTCATATTAAAAACAGAAAGACATTGAGATATATAATATATACGATGAGTTATAAAATTAAATTTATGATAAGAATAAAATCAAAAAGTGGTAATAAATAACTCTCCAATGTCTAATAAAATTAAACAATATTCCTTTTAAAAGATGCCATGTATAAAAATAAGAACTGGAGAAAGTATAGGTTAATTTGTTTTGATAAAATTTGATATCAACATTTTAAGTTTATCGTGAAGACGCAGTGGGGAAAAAAGCCCGTGGTAACCGTTCTGGCTCCAAATATAAGCAATTGGGCGAAATCTAGCTAACTTATTTGGGAGCGTTGAAGCAATAGAATTTTAGGTAGGCTACAATGCAATGATGAGATATTTGAAGTTGTGAAAAAGAAATAATTGGAATATGTGGTTATCCTATATCAAGGACAATTGGAGGGATAATATAGTCGACGTGTATGTTTTTGTCTTTTTGTTTTTTGGGAAGTGGAGACCACAATCGCACAAGAGCTTCTCGTTAAAGGTGAAGAGGTATAATTAAATTTACTATTTGTGCAAATACCAGCCTGCTCTGTCGTCGATTTTGCTGTAAATAATCTCTCTGTTTTGTTTCTTTCGGATACATATTCATCAGGGTTGCACCAAAGGTTAAACGGGATTGAATTTCGACATAACTCAAAATTTGGCATCTTTTATAAAAACAACTATATTAGGCAATTCATAATTTAATTTAGTTTAATAATAATTTAAAAATTAACAAAATCAGACTTAATTTATAGATTTGGAAGACTGATTCTGTAAGTTTAATGCTCACTTAGTTTTTTGTTTTCTCCCTTTATGAGAGCCAATCATCCATTTCAATTTAATAAATTAAATTAAGATAATAAAAATACTTATAATCATAATAAATCTATAATAATTTTTAACAAGAAGAAAAAAAATTCAGTTATAATCCAAATGATTCAGATTATTAAATTATTAGTTAGAGCATGCGACCGTTAAGGAACCAGACTTATTAAATTGTTAATAGTCTTAACTTATTATTATAATTAATTAGTAAATTAATTATAATCATAATAAATAAATTTAATAGAACCAAACTAGACCAAGAACTCCAAATGTTCAGTCTCCTGTCCAGTCTAGCCTGAAGAAATAATTTGGCCTTTTCAATTTTTTTTAGTCCTAAAAGGCTAGTTTTTAATAGGACCGGACTTTCTCGAGTCACATCAAGTCGAACATGATTGAAAGAATTCTACACAACTTTAATATTCATAAAGTTCATTATGTTGCTCTCACATTTCTATTATTAAAATTAAAATAGAATTATTTGAGTCCTTCATATAATTGTTAAATAAAAAAGAGTCTATTGACAACTAAACTGAGTAACTGAGTCTACTCATGAGTTAATAAAGAAATATAATTTCTATTCTAAATATCAAACTTGTATGAATCATTTTAAATCTCAAAACTTGCCAAAATAATATTTCATAGCAAATGTACAAGCTTGTATTAGTTGAGTAACCAAGAACTTCTAGAGTAAAATAAACAAAGATGCCTTCGTCAATCTTGAAAATATATTTCGTAAAGAAAATACATGCATATACCATAATTTAATTAATTTTCATCATTATTCTAAAATTTCCAAAACCAAAATAATTTAATTAATAAAGTACATAATAACCATCATAGTTGTTAAAATGATTTATATGAAAATGTAATATTTTCAAAAACAGACTACTTTTATTAAAAAAATAATGGGGTGCTATTCACTTACCTACTACTTTTCAAATTTAATGATTTGCTTCCTCAATTCTTATCAAGAAACTCATCTTCCATGCACCCTCTATGAATAAATAAAACCTCAATTTGCTTTCTATAGTTATATAAACTTTATTCCACTACCAACACAATCTCAACCAACTAAAATATTCAAAATTCCAAAAATCAAAATTCATATCTTAATAGTTTATCAAATATCATCACTTACCACCAATTTACCTCATATTATTCTAATCATAACTACTATGTATATAAGATATGATTTTCTTATACCTTATATCGAACACATTGTGCGCAAAATTTTTAATCACCCATAATTAAATTTATCATACTTATTTTACCCATTTGTCAAACATCTTAAATGTATTCTCAAGATCAAATGATAAATACCACTGTACTTATGAATTTATAAATCACACAACATAAATTTTTAAAAAATTCTACTAACCACTATAACTCAAGAAGCAAATTTTTTACAATGCTCAAGTTAAAACTCACCTAAATAAAATTTGAATTAGTCATGTCTCTCATCCCACTAAATAGAATTTCAAAAAAATTCAAATCTAGCAAAACTCTTCAAACAAGCATTTTATCAAACACCTTATAAGCACCAATCTCAATCTCATGCCTAAACCCTTCCCTTCCAACTTCATCTCACCAAATCCTCAAAATTAATGAATCTAAACAAAATTACTTTAGCATAAAATTCAGACTCAGATATACCATCATAAAACTCTAAGATATATTTCTAACTCAACTTCGAATTTTCAATTTTTTTCCCTATATAGCACAGCACAGACAGAGGTAGAACTAAAAGAAAAATTTGAAATTTCATCTCCATCACTTCACCCACTCACATGCACAGAAATTATCCAAGGAAAGGAAAAGAGATCAAAGCTTCTCACCTTATATAAACCAACACTCACGAACAGGGAGAGGAAGAGAAAGTTGCACTTGTACAGAGGAGGGAAAGGAGATTGCCGCTGAGTACAGAGAAGAGATGAACAAATAAGTGATTGATAAAGCAAGCAAAAGAAAGCAAACCATCTTGCACTCATCTGTAAAGTCACCAAACAGCGTAGAAGAAAGAGTTTTGACAAGCTGGAACAGAGGAGAAGAAAGGAAACAGAAGTCACGAGTTACTAGATCAGTGTCGGACAAAGCTATCGCAAACACGTTGGCGAAGATTGTAGTTGGAAAGGACGAAGGAGGAGGTGAAGCAAAAGGATCGAGCAATAATAGAATCAAAGCTACTTCTCTCTCTCTCTCTCTCTCTCTCTCTCTCACGGATCTCTCTTGAAACATTGAAGGAGAGGAGAATATATTAGGTTTGACAGAATAGTAGTTTGGTAATTTCACATAGCAAAAAGGCAAAAGTAATTCTTCCTTTGGCCTTCATCAGATTCAAACTTTGGACTTATTAGGAGGATACTTGCAAAGCCACTACTACACCAACTTCCCTTTTTGTCATATTTGTCCCAAAAATTAATATATTTACAATCAACACACATTATAACATATTTAATTAATTAATAATTTTTTTAATTTTTTACTTATAATTTTTGAGTTATTACACCTTATGCAAAATTAACAAGTATTTGGTTACTATCTAACTTGTTAATTTCTTAACAATACTTGTTAAATAGTCAACTAGTTAATTTCGTGAATCCATAATCTTAAGGACATTACTTGTTAATTTTATAACTTTATTTGTTAATTTGTCAACATAACTTTTTAACTACTTAACTTGACTTGTGAATCTTTTGCAATATTTGTTCACTCAATTTGACCGAAAATAATCATCATTAGTTATTAATTTTTTACTTCACTTGTTAATTTACCAATATCATTCGTAAATTACTTAATTGCATCTGTCAATAATCATACTAAGATCAATTGATAATTATCTAACTTTTACTTGTTAATTTACCAATATCAATTATAAATTATATAACTTGTCAATAGTCATACTAGTTCAATCATTTTATCACAAATGCAGAATCATTAATTCTTAATTATCTAACTTTACTTGTTAATTTATCAATATATGTTGTCATTTTTTCTTTCTTATGCAAAAGGCATTTCGGTCTTTTCAACAACCCATTTTATTTCAATTTAGTCCAGAAATCTTGCAGTGAAATTTCAAATTTCATTGAAAGCCACTAGTAAATATCTCTCTTCTATAGTCCTTAGTTAAAATTCTCCCTTAAATTTAAAAAAGTTAAGGTATCGTCTCTTTTTTCTTAAAGGAAAACAATGTGGATTATATCATGCGTTGTAG